GCTAAGGGAAATGTTTGAAGGGGTCTGAGGTAGGTGACGAGAAGAAAGGTGGGAGGGAGATCGGCTAAAACCAAACATACCAAAAAAGAACTTACTCTAATCTTCTTTCTGTGGCTGTAAGAAACTGCTCTGACCAAATGCAATTTAGGGAAGGAAAGAGTTTATTTCGTCACTAATGTGACAGTTCATCATTGAGTGAGAACCGCAAGCAGCATCTTGAAGCAGAAACCATGGGGGAGGCAAACCCCTGGCTTGCCCAGTCTTGGACTTAGCTAGCTTTCTTAGCTAGCCCAGGAGCACTGACTTAGAAATCTGTACCTCCTAATGTCAGCTGACCCCCCTACATCAATGAACAATCAAGGCCATCCCCCATAGATATTCCCACAGGCCGTTCCCCGAGTGGAGAAACCTTTCTGAGATGATGTGACGGCTAATGCCGGCTGTCAACTTGACTATATCAAGCAGCTGGGCACAGCTGAGATTTCTTGATTGGGTCGTTTGAGGTAGGAAGACCCCACTCTAAACATGGGCCATATCTGCTTGCCCTCACTCTCACTGGCAAGTTCATCCATCCTGCTTCTGAGACATTCTTTTGCTCATATTAGAACCTACTTTTGGGGGATTAAAGGCCAGCAGCTCTCTAGGAATCCTCCAGGACTCCAGAACCAGATTGGAACTGCTGAGATATCCACTCTCAAGGACTGAACGACTACCAGATTCTTGAGCTTTCTATCAGGTGACAGCCATTGTTGGCCTACCCAGATCACAGCTTGTAAATGACTCTAATAAAGCCCCCTTTAATATTCATTCTATCAGTTCTATTCCTTTAAAGAACCCTGACTAATACAGTGACTCTGGGCTAGGTCAAGCTGACGATTAACGCCAACCAGGACAGCCCCTGGGAACATATTTTATAACCTAACAGAGGAGGAGCTTGAATAGCCCTTCCCTAAATGGGTAGGTAATGTGGCTTCCAGGGGTCATAGGTTATTAATCTAAAGTCTCAGCACCCATTGTAGGATATCTCCCAATGAGTTGTTAGCTATGGAGCCCCGGCCCCAGAACAACACAGGACATTGCCACTTCTCCTTGCTTCCTACCAGAAGTAAGCAGTAACCCTATTGCTGAAGACAACACACACTTTGGATACAGGACACAGAAAGCTAGGTGGAACTGCGCTGGAGTCTTCTGCCCTGAGTATGCATAGTCTAGAAGGTGCCATGACAACTGCTGGGGGAGTGAGTGTCTAATCCAGTGGTGGACCCTGTACACCTCAATACTGACATGCTAAACCAAATGCGCACACAGGTAGAATAATGTCATCACTGTTCTAGGAATAACAAATTGCATCCTGGTTTGATCTCTGTCAATCCATGACAGAGAATGTAGGTTCTATTACTGTAAACCTGTTAAGAACTGGTGGCTAGCGAGGTCATAAACCATATGAAAGAATTTGCTACTGACGTTTGCTAAAGGAATATGTGGCTACCCAGCCTTCAGAATTCTTATGTTATACATATAGACTAATGCAGCTCTCAGCCTTAGCCAGAAAACCTCACGGCAGTGAGTGATGGTCAAAGCAGAGAGTCATAGCGACCAAGTACTGAGAATAATGGACCACAGAGTGCTCGGCCCTAAATAAGGCATTTATACCATCCACTCTGAGGCTCGGGGGACATGGCAATAGAGGGAGAGACAGGCTGAGAGACTGAGAGACTGGGGAAGCACACCGTATAGTGCTGTTCTTTGAGCACCCCATGGCTGTGGCAGTGAAGAACACAGAGCTGCCATGGCCACCTACACAGACCTGGAGGCAGGAGTCGAGTACCAGGGAGAAAGAGGGCAGCAGTCACCTTCAGTACTCAAGCCAGGACAGCAGATGAGAAACACAATGGATCAGACCAACTCTCTGCTAGTTTAGCTTTTCCTACTTCTCTCTACAGTGCGTCAACCTCGGCTTTTAAACCCTTCTGTGGCCTGAACCTTCTACTCGGTCCACATGTTTTCCTAAGGCAGAATAGAAGGAAACCTTAGGGAACATGGAAAGAGAAAGCAGTCCTTTACTCTGGGATCTAGTTTGTGCTTCTTGCTAGTTGACCGTCAAGAAACAGAGTAACTGATAAAGCCAAAATCGCCGACAGAGATGGTGCCTATTTCTCTAAAGACATCTCAAGCAACAGTATTCAAAACAAACTTGTGCTTACTTGGGGCCATTAATGCTTGTAAGCTTGAGTTTTTCTGTAACACTCCTCTCTCATCCCTAAGTCTTAATAATGCACCTCAAAAAACACCTTTACAATTTCATTTAAGAGAAACACAAACCAGCTCATACTTTAATTCTGTTTTAACCTTCTGACTGCTTTGAACTCGCATACAGTGTATTATGATTGCATTCCCCCTCTCCTCATTTCTTTTTAATCTCAACCCCATTGCTGCTGAGCTTTGGAAATTCATAGATTCATGCAGGCAACCAAGTAGGTGTCTGTATTGATAGAGCCCAGTAGAAAATAAATCCCATGAGTTAAACAATAATAAGTGAATACATATTGGTAATAGGAAACTCCACATGAATCCCCATTGCTAACGGAGAAAATTGTATGAAGAACAACTTGGAAGGATGAACTCTCCCCTAAGCCTGGGCTGAAGGCTTCATTGGAAAAGCTACTGGTAGGTTCCTGGAGTTGTAGAGAAGTTTACCGATTTGTCATAGTCAGAGCTGGATGCAGCCCACAGATGACCTGAAAGTAACCCTGCAGGCCTCAGGCAGCGGCATCAGGGGGACTTCAGACCTGCAGACAGTAGCACAGGGTATATACAGCAGTGCCAAGATCTAACGCTTCCGGTGCTGGTTTTCACCTTAAGAGTGGCCATGAAATGCCAATTGCCGAGATGGTCTTAGGTATTATACCGTATTGGACTTTACCATTCAGGACAACGGGGACCTGGGAAGAGTTAACAAAGAAAATGTCAAGAGTCCTCAGGAAAACTAAAGTATGCAGACTGTCTGGAGTCATGTGAAGCGGCACTCTGGAGGGCGGCACTCTGGAGGGCGGCCTCCGGCACCTCTGCTCCACCTTGCAGGATCAAACTGTGAAAAGGGGCTTTCCTCCTGCGGCACCTCTTCAGGGCGACACAGTGAAAAACACCTAACATTGGGATGACTTTAAAGGAGTTCCTTGTGCTAGGAGAGTTCTCAACTCTGGACACACTATTCATAAACTGAATTCATATGCTGAAGTTCACAGAAAAAACAACAACAACCCTGTACCTGTTAAAAATTCTATAAGGCTGGTTGACTAATTAAAACCTTCTGTGATTGTGGAGAGATGGACTGCCACAAGTTGGGAGCCAAGTTCTCTTTAGCTCCATTAGTAACAAGTTATTACCTACCTCTGTGTGTGAACTAACATCATTTAGACTATTGGGTAAACTGGTTTGGCATATATAAATATATCCCTAGTTTCCACCAAACCTAAGCTAAAAAATGACATCCTACAACATCTGAGGTCTGAAAGGCAGACTTCCCTGCTTCATAGAAAGTAACCCACCTAGTTAATGTTTTATTGATACATGTTTAAGGCACGTGCTGCCCTTTCTGTACACTGCACTGTTTTAGACTCTATAAGGAGATACAGTGGTTTGTTTGACTTTTTGGCAGATAACACCTTTAAGAAGACTATCGTCTTCCAAACTGAAAATGTGACAAATCATGTCAGTCATATTTTCATCACTGTGAGAAAAATCTCTGGGAAAAGTAGCTTAGAGATGGGAGGTTTGATTCATGGTTTCCCAGGGTTTGGGGGTGACTTTGGCCCTATCGTGTTTGCTGTTGAGAGGCGAGGGGTGTGCAGTGGGCAAAGCTGCTAACCTCATGACAACCAGGAAGCAAAGAGTAAGCAGACAGCAATGGCCCCGTCATCTCCCTACAAACTCCAATTGAGGGTGCTACCCTGGAAGAAATGGTGAACGTTCCCTCTCTATCCATCTGCTCCCCAGGGATCCGGCTTGAGAGCAGAAACATCGGCATTTCAACTGCCTCTAAAACAGACGGCGTTGTCAATGGTTAGAAGTCCTGTGGTAAACAGGATGCTACAGATTTTTAAAACAGAATAATGACAAATTGCCAAGTTGTTCCGGTTTATTTCCAAGTGCCGGGCTTCCATAGCTAAACTGAATGTAAAGCAGCGATAAACCTTTCAGGAAGTGATACATCTCCACAAGCCACTTGTAACTTATTTCCAGATTATAGACACACCCATGTTAGGGGTTTTAAATAGCTTCAAAGACAATGAAACTAGATGGGAGATAGACAACAATTATTGAAGCTTCCTTTCCTTTCTTCTTGTCTCATACACAGCCTGAGTTCTAGAACACCCCGAGAAGCCCTTAGTATAATACAAAATAAACAAAATAACGGCAAATATTTCTTCCCTGATAGTCCAAAAGAGTAACAGTTTGCTCTTGTTTTCAAGGCCCTTGTCCCCCAGAGAGGTCAGTGATTTTATGCTCCTTCAGGAAAAATTACAAGGCACAAATGCCCAGATCAGAGAACTGGTATGTCTACTCTGGCTTTCAAGGTGTTTGGTTTTTCTGATGCTCTTGAAGACATAACCCCTCTTTCCATTTCCCACCTCCTGGCAGCTGCCCAGATCTCCAGCTTGCCTGCTCTACTGTTTTCTCTCTCAGACTACCAAAAAAAAAGTCCTTGAGTTCCCTTCTAAGTCAATGAATTATGGTACTGCAAAAGGGATGTTGTGTCCCATTATGACAGTATGAACCCACTATACCCACTTCCTTCTCTTGGGCCTCACCTGCTAATGTAACTACTACTTCCTGATAGCATCATGGGCTGAGAACCAAACTGTCAATACATGGGGTCTTGCTGGATGTAAATTATAGCAATGTTTTAGGGAAATATCTTAAGGGGAGTGAGGTTTTTTTTTTTTTTTTTTAACAAAATAGGTATACTGTGACTTCTTTTTAAATACAGTTGCTCCAAGTAGAACCTCAAGAGACCTCCTAATTTTATTTGAAAGAGAATACACCCTTCAGTCATAAATGCATATTTACAATAGAGACTATGTTCTAAAATTGTCACTATGGCATTTAGGACAAACTTTTTTTTAAAAAAGAGCCACAAAGTGGGAGCCCTTGGGTTATCATTAGATCCACATTCAGCAGGCATGGATCTAAGATATCAAACAGTGCCAATATTTGCAAATATTTGAGTTTACTTTTTAAGATCTGTATGTTACCCCCCGACCCTCAAATCCATATTTCTAGTTTTCTTGAAAACTGCAGAGTTCAGCCGTGTCGGCGTTGGACATTTGCCAACAAACCCCGAAGTATCCATTTGGGCAGGATGTGTGCTTTCCGGTTCAGTTCAAATCCCATAAAACACTGCCCACAGCTTGCTCTCCTCGGCAGGTAGGTGCATTTGTAGTCGTGTTTGTTCCAAACCACCTGGGCTTATAAACTTGCGAGACAATGAAAAATAAGTTCATTTCTTTGAAATCAATGTTGAAAGGGTGTGCTGGTTGCTCTTCACTTTTTCAAGGTTTTTTTCCCCTTTCATCTTCAGTTCCTGAGCGGGCGAGGACCAACGTCTTAGAAGCTGGAAGGTCTGAGTCTCAGGAGAGACAGGTGTCAGGAAGAGCTGCTACAGGATGTCTTGATAGAAGCTGTGACAAAAGAGAGGCCATTAGGAAAGGAAAGGAGGGAACAAAGGAGGGATGTGGAGGAAAGGCGCACACGGAAGGGGAGACTTACTGGCAGAGGCGGCGGCGGTGCTTCCAGACGCAGTAGAGCACAGGACAGGACAGAAGAAACAGTACCCCTGCCGTGATCCCGAAGATAGCACCCGCAGACAATTGCCTGCCCCCTGCTTTGGAGGAATACAAGGTATCTCTAAACAAAGAACCCATCCCATTTCAAGTTCCCTACTCTAAGCCCATTATTTCTTCCTTCATTTAAACCCTGTCCTTTTATTCCTCACGAGTTTAGACTGGTCCTCTTCTGACAGGATGGCTGCCTGCGATCCGGACAGATGTGAATCTGTCTACCTCCAGCTCTTCAACTTCCTGGGTGACCCTGGGTGGTTGGCCTGTCTTAGCATCGACTTCCTCATCTATAGTCTGAATAGCAGTACTTAACTTCAACGCTCAGTGGTGAAAAGAAAGGACACACCAGCCTCAGAGTGGTCCGTGCTCACACAGGTGGAGGCTCTCAATACACTCCAGCTATGCTTTGGGCCCTGGGTCCTCTATCCTGGGGAACGGGTCTTCCCGCACTGCTTTGCCATTTGCCTCCGGATCTTCTGAGTTTCTGGGTCTCCTTTCTTCATATCTATAGAACATCTTACCTCCAATTTTTTGGGATTTCTTTCTGTATCTAGAATTCCCTCCTTCTATCTTTTCTATAATAGTTAGGGGTTTCTGTGACCAGGTTTGTTCAACTCTCATTCCATGCTTGAAGGGTACCTCTACTCACTCTCAACACAGTATACATTTTTTTTTCTTACCCCAGTCGAGGATCATGACCTGCCCTTTTAGACTGCTATGTTTCACCCAGCAGGCCAGGCCAGCTACCTCTCCAGCTTCCACATCCAGGGTTGCTCGGAGATACCATGTCCCATCAGCATTGGGCAGGATGTCACCTCTCCGAGTACTCTTTTGCTCTTGCTTGCCCTTCATCCACATCACCCACACAGGCTTTGGGTGGAATCCAGAGACATGACATAGCAGCTGCTCATGGCCAGGTCTAGGACTGAGGCCCTTGGACAACCAGGCCCCAGGCGTCTCTGCATCCAGCAAGAGGAGAAAAAAAAATCTTAAGGCCAGAACACTTATATTCGAGGCTCCAGGCCTCCTATCAAGTTCATGCTTAAATTCATTTGTATCACTGTGACTAGGGAAACAAACCATCCTTGACACATCTACCCCTCCCCTGATCCAAGCATCCTGTGAACAACCCTTCTCTGTACTCTAGAACACCCTGAGTTCAGCGGAGATAGCATGTCTCAAATACCACCTGGCTCCGTTCTGATACTCAGTGTTTAACTCAATTCATAGAATCCAAGAGTGACCTGTCAGTGAAAAGAACAAACCCCACATGCCTTCTTCACCTCCTCCTAGGCCTTGCCCTGTCTCTAAAGCTTACAGTGACGGGAAAACACAGAAACAGTCCACGTGGGGTGAGGCTAGCAGGCTGACCTTGCTTCTCCAGTTCTGGCTTCCCTGCCTCTAGGAGACCACGGACAAGCTGGGGGCAGGTGTCATTCAGAAGCTGCTGAATCGTTTCTCTTGTCCCTTGATCACCGTTGAGCACTCTAATGACCAACTCCATCCAAGGTGGGGCCTCTGGGGCCTTCTGAAAGGAAGTTCCCTGAAAACTCAGCACATGTTCTCCTTGAAACGCTACATGGAGAAAGCTCTCCGAAGCGTTCCCAGAGTACACTTCACACCCAGCAGACAACTGGACCTCAATGGGATCTGTAAAGAGGAACAGGTAGAGATCAAAGAATGATTAAGAAGTTGGGAAGAAAGGAGAAGAAATTGGTATGAAGATAGTGGTTAGGTCTCAGTTGAGGGAAATGATAACGGGTATCCTGGGACTAATTTTCAGAAGAGACAAGGATCTCTCTAGACAGAAGTGAAAATCATAAGGTCAGAGAAAGCAGAGACTCTCATCAGATAACCTCGCAGTTATCCAGTTGGGGTTTGGGGGCCTCTCTCACCCATTGGGTACCTGTTCAGGGTTCCATTCCCTCCACTCACAGTGTAGGATAGACACCATTTTGACTAATTCCTGTATGTCCCTGGTAAAGCTGGTTCGATACACTTGAAATAAACGCTGCAGCTTCTCCCACTGTTGGTGACTGAATTTGCCCTGGGACCATGGCTTCACGAAGCTGATGGTGTCTGAGTCATTACTCCAACGGTGCGTTTGCAGATCCCCCAGCCAGGCCAAGCCATCCGTGCGTGAGCAGCTACTGTTGGCGAAGGAAGAGATCTGCAGGCAGCGGAAGGGGAAATTCTCTTGCTGTCCTGGAAACAATGAAAACCAAATGAGCGTAGCGAGTGAGTGACCAAGTCGGCAGACGGACTCTTAGGGAAAAGAACAGCCTTAGCTGGGCTTGGGAAAGAGAGGCGCAGGGTAGGGTTCTGAACTGCGTTGGGCTCTGAGCCTGAACCACACAGCGGTTCAGCCCACTTGTGTGCTCCAAGCCCGCCAGAGTCCCACCTCCCCTCCGCCCACAACCTCCCAGCGCTGCTATTAGTCAGGCACTCTCTTCCTCCTTTTCCAGTCCCTTCTGTGTGCACGTCCACTCACCTTCAGATTGTCCCCAGACCCTCGAGAACACCCAAAGCAACAGGCACGGTAGGTACCGCATGGCGCGAGAGGTCTGCACTGCCCTAGGCTCCGACTTCAGCGTCTTTCTCTTCACCCTGAGCACAAAGGCTCTGGGGCTTTTGGCGCAGTGCTCGCCAAATCCGGAAGCACCGGATTGGCAAATTCATTACTCTTTTACAAACTCACCCCCCCCCCCCCCCCCCCCCCCGCGTGGTTGAGTGTTAGAGCGCAGCTTTAATCAGTACCGCTACACAACCAACTTTTCTCAACTGTCTTTCCCTTACACTAAAGAAAAAGGTTTATGTAATGGATAGCTGTTCCAGCTTTGACCTAGAAGTATTACCCCCATTGAGGTTTCGTGTCTCGCCTATAAGGCAGAGCCGAGAGAGGGTCCTGAAGACCCGAGATCCAGATCGGCTGGCTCTCTTAGTTTCTGGATCCTGGACGCTGGAGGTAGACTGAGCAGAGTTCTCCAGAGAACACCGCTGGACTGCGCTTGACCTTTCCCAGACTCTGTAACCTATTGTTACCCCACTTGTAAGTTACCTCACAAAATAAACCACCCTTTTAACTACGTGGAGTTGCCTTAATATTTAAACCAATATGTTGAGATCGGTTTTTTGTTGTGTTTTTTTTTTTTCCATCTCAATGTTAAAAGCAAGACATAAGGTCGTATTTGTGTTACAATTCTGATGGTATTAAAAACGCAAGGAGAGAAAAGGAGAAAAGTTTCGACCAAGCTAAGCAGTGGAAGTTTGCTAGCTGCTGAACAGGGTATGGAGATGAGGCTGGCTAGCTCTCCTGTCTTCACTCACACTGCCTGGGAAGCTTCCGAAGGCTCCCCTGAGAAAATGGCATTGCAGTTTGAAGTCTGAGTGGAAACCACTAGGATGGGCTTGGAGGCAAGAGTTCCCCAAGGTCCCTATTTGTTTTACTTCGTTTTACACTTTCGACTCCTCCCAGATCTCCACATGTTTATTTAAAAAAAAAAAAGGATGGGCGTGGTTCTCGCAGTGGTACACTGAGAGGATAGGGTGGGCTAAGTTACTTCACAGCATCCGTAACCCCGCAGTCTCCTGCGTCCGTGTTCCCCTGACTCTCCCCTTAACCTGGGGTCTCTTTTCCCTGATTTGTCTCTCCTGTGTCTTCCCTAGCTCCAGTTTGGAGAGTACAATCATGGTTGTTTTTTTTTTTTAATTTATTTATTTATTTTTGCAGTATATCAGGATTTGTGCAAATTGAAGACTTGCGGCAATCTGATGTGAAGAAACGCTGAAAGTAACAAGCTGTGCACACTCAAAGGGCTATAGCACAGGGGGAAACATGTGCTGTATACCTGCATACAGGAATCTTTCCTTTATCCCCGCACCCTTCCCTCTAGCTTGGCTTTGCCTACTAGCTTCTTCCTCTGCCTTCCCAGCCACTCTCAAAAACGAACCTCATGGTTTTGTGAACAGAGGTAGGATTATGGTATGTGCCTGTGAGTTTGAGTGGTTGTATCCTATTTCTCACACTGAAAACAGGCATCCCCGAAACCGTTACTCAGAACTTTGAGTAACCCTGAAAGAAGTCATCATTGGTAAAGCAGACTCCCAATACCATCTTTCCCGTTCCTTTTATTCACTCCATTGTCAGCTTTTCTCTATCTTTCTGTCTTGTCTCTTAAGTAGGTCCTCTTCTCTACATCTCCACCTTCCCCATCACCCTAACCTTCTGCTTCACCTATATGAAACAGCTTTCTTGAGAAGAAGAAAAAAAACATCATCAGTATGGCCTATAGGATCATCCTGGCCCTGCTCTGGTTTGCCTTTGAGCACCAAATGAGACCCTATTCTCAGGCTCACAGGCTTCATTCAGTTCCTTACAGCTTCCTCCTGCCTAAGAGCTCTGCACAAATAGGGACCTTGGGGAACTCTTGCCTCCAAGCCCATCCTAGTGGTTTCCACTCAGACTTCAAACTGCAATGCCATTTTCTCAGGGGAGCCTTCGGAAGCTTCCCAGGCAGTGTGAGTGAAGGCAGGAGAGCTAGCCAGCCTCATCTCCACCCTGTGCAGCAGCTAGCATTGTAGGCTTTTCTTCCTAACACATAGTCCTTGTGATTACGGAAATGGTAGTTTGTCTGCTTCTTTGTTCTCTCTGTCATCAGCTGGAGGGATGTCAGGACATAAGGGTCGCCTCTCCTGACTGCGATTCCTCCCGTTCTGCCTTCTCACTGTTAGAAGAGTCCCAGAGGACAGGCTTTTCCCTCTAGGCTGGGGTCTTGGAGGTAGCTCTAATCAACCAGAGCTTATTTTACTGGACGTTGCTCCAAAAATAGTTTAAAATGACTCTGAAAAGTTTTGTTAAAAAAAAAAAAATGTTATCAAGGTGTGGTGGTGCTTGTCTTTAATCCCAGCACTTAGGAGGTAGAGGCAGACAGATCTCTGAGTTTGAGGACAGCTTGGTCTACAGAGTGAGTTCCAGGACAACCAGGGCTACACAGAGAAACCCTGTCTTGAAAAGTCAAAAAGAAAAGAATATATATGTATATACATATATATGGCTAAATATAATATATATGGTTAAAATAATTATTTTTATTTAGTTCAAAATATTTTATTATTTTTATTACAACATAAGTACATCATTTCCCTCCATACCTTTCCTTCCTCCAGTTCTTCCCATGTCACTTCTCTCCCCACACTCACTATCAATTTATTGGCCTCTTCTTTTTTTTTTATTATTGTTTTACACACACACACACACACACACACACACACACACACACACACAATTACTACTACATATGCAGTCCATTCAGTGCTGTTACCAAGTACATGTTTTCCAAGTTTACTACTTGGTATTGTATAACCACTTAGAGGGGCTCCTCCCTGGGGGAAGAATACTTCTTTTCTCAATGTCTCTTGGTTCTTTATCTCAAGGCAGGGCCCTGTGAAATTCTCCCCACCTTCAATATTAGGATGTCTATTGATATTGTACTTGTTCAGAACTTGTTAAGAAGCCATGTTGTTGAGGTATCATGGATGAAGCTTCCCTGTCATTCTTAGGAGACATAATCTCACAGCATTTTCTTGCCCTCTGGCTCATACAATCTTTCTGTCTCCTCTTCCATGATGTTCCCTGAGCCTGGAGTGCAGGGGTTGTACTGCAGTGTGCCCACTGGGACTGATCAGTCTGCACTTTGACCTGTGTGGTTCTCTGAAATAGTCTCTGTTCCTCGATGATGGGTGTAGGGACAAATATTTAGAATGCAGTTAGGGATTATGCTGGTTCAGTAAAGTAGCAGGGCAGGGGGGTAGGGATAGGGATAGGTTCTCCTCTGAGATTCGTGACCTCACTAGCCCTGTGTAATCTGCTAGGTTTCCAGTACCAGGCATGATTTCCCTTTTGTTGAGTGGGCCTTATGTCCAATTAGAAAGCTGTTGGTTACCACCAAGACATAAATAACACTACTGTGTCATTAGAGATATCATGTCTTGCTGGTCAGTGTTGTGGTTCATAGACTTCACATCTAGGAATGACCATTTTGCTTACATCCCTCCCTTGGCAGCTTGAATAGCACCTTCTGAAACTATGAATGCTAGTCCCCAGGGAGGAGGCTTTCAGGTCAGATCCAGGTTGAATCTTTTGAGTCCTGTGTCTGAAGTGCATGGTGTCTTCAGCAATAAGGACTTACCTTCCACCTCTGGCAGGCAACCAAGAACAGCAGTAATAGCCTATATTGTCTGGGGAGTCTCTTGCACTCCCCTTATCAACAACTCCTATGGAGATTCCTCATGCCTGTGCACTTATGTGTGTTGTATATAATTTTAGGTAAATACAAAATAACGCAATTCCTTAAGGCTTTTTCAAGCATCCTTAATGTTATTTGTCCAACCTCCCTCTCTCCTTCGGTGTTGACCTGCCCCTTCTCCAGGAGAGCCCCCTTCCCTGTTCTTCCCATTTCTCTTTTCATATCACACGTATTCAGCATTCCTTTTTCTGGCACCCACTTCTGTGCTGGATAGTGTCTTGTCAACTTGACACAAGATAGATTTGTTTTGGAAGAGCGAGCTTCTGGTGAGAAAACACCCCCACCAGACTGGCTTGTGGGCAAGCCCGTGGTGTGTGTTTGGATTGGTGATTGATGGGGGAGGGCCCAGCTCTCTAGGAGCAGTGCCACCCCTGGGTTGGTGGTCCTGGGTTCTGTAAGAAAACAGCCTGGGCGACCTATGAGGAGCAAGCCAGAAAGCAGAATCCTTTTATCCTCTGCTGCAGCTCCTACTTCCTCAGTGATGTGAATTTAAACAAACTCTTTCCTCTCCAAGTTGCTTTTGGCCACGGTGCTTTAATCACAGTAGTTGGAAACTCCAAGACACCCTCTCACGGTCCCTTTTCACTGTCCTAGTTTCTGTGGTTACTCTGTGTTAAATGCTCGTATCTGAAGTTTGGGAGCTGTGAAACAGGATTGAGAACATGCAATGCTTGTCTTTTGGGGTCTGGTTTACCTCACTCAATAAAATATTTTCTAGGTCCATCCATTTACCTGCCAATTCCATGATTTCTTTTTTTTAATAGTTGAATAGCATTCCACGGTGTTTGTGCACCACATCTCCGTTATCCGTTTGTCAGACGAAAACCGTTTCGGTTGTTTCCATTTCGAACTATTATGAATAGCAACAAACACGGCCGAGGAAAGTGTCAGTGGAGTAGGATGTCAGGGCCTTGGAGCATGTGCCAAGCAGTGGCATAGCTGAGTCATAGGCTGGATTTATTTTTAGCTTTTTGAGAATTCTCCAAACTGTTTTCTAGAGTGGATGCACCAGTTCACAATCCCACCAGGAGTGAATGAGGGTTCCCTTTCGCCACATTTTCTCCTGCTTTGTGGCCAGCTGTTTTGCTGATCTTTGCCATTTTGACTGGGGTAGGATCAAATCTCAAAGTTGTTTCTATTTGCATTTCTCTAATTGCTAAGGATGATGAACATTTTCCAAAGTATTTCTTAGCCATTTTTATTTCTTTGTCTGAGAACTCTTCTCTCGAGTCTTTGAACTTTTGAGTTCTTTGTATTCTCTGACTGTTAATCCACTGTCAAATGTGTAGCTGGAAAAGATTCTCCCCGACTCTGCTGGCCTCCTTTTCACACAGTTGTTTCCCTAGTTGGGCA